CCTGCTCCCTGTCTTTTCCATCATAGGGAAGAAAACCAAGACCCAAGGTCTGAGATCAGGTCCTTTACACTTACAGCATCTTTTTCTCAGTCCCTTCATTTTTTACCTTTCTGGGCACTTTGATCTGCCTCTTGTGTATGGGTCTCTCTCTAAGAGAGATTCCAGCACTTTTCCTGAAAGCCCAAGGTATATTTTCCAAAGCCACATAGGGCTGCAGACATGGCTTTGCCTGAAAAGCAGAGTGTAGCTTAAAGAGTTGTGGCCAAGGCACATGCACACAACAACTGTCCCAAAGCCCTGGCTTCACATCTTCCTACCAAACAAGTGTTCCCCTTTGCAGGCAACCTTGGGCCCTTGGTACCACGCTCAGGGATATCAGCTGTGTTTCCTGGAAGGAGGCATCACCCTGAATCCAACTCGTTGTCTGCCTTTAAAGAAACAAGGGGAAATTGTGAGAAAAGAGAAGTCCCTGATGAATTTGCCTCTGTATTGGATGAGTCTTGTCAGCAAGTCTCTCTGATAAGCAGCACTGAATCTAGGCATTCTCCCAGCAGCTCTTCTGAGGGCCAAGGCACAGAGAGAGAAAGTTGACCTCTCCATCCCCACCTTATATGCCATCACTTTATGATCTCAGTCTCACGGACCGTGCCAGTTTTGTGCCTCTTCTGCCTGGCCACTTGGGCTGTGGCTATGCTCCGAGGCACTGCTCTACCTGCTGATGGGAGCAGAGGTTGTTATAACTGAACGGGTGTGGGGAAGTCAGAGGATCTACCTCCACTTGGAATCTTCTGGTTTCTGCATATTTAGGTGGTATCTTATTGGAAGAGCAAGAAGTTTGGGGCTCATGTACAATGGACACTGCATGCCACAGAGATGGCTCTCCCCATACTGCTGCACTGTTATTAATAAGCAACAGGCATGATTAGTTCTTCACCTGCTTAGAGCACTTCTGACGTCAACAACTTCATTTTCACCATCCATTATACAGATAGGGAAACTGAGGCACCAAGAAGGAAGGAGATAGACCCAAGGCCAAGCACAGCACTCATAACGGAGATGGGACTAGAGGAATCAAGCTAAAATTGTTCAAATCTCTGAGCTGTCTCAGGTCAAGCTGGGGCAATAACTGCACCATGCGAGCAAAACTGGGTGAACCAGATTATCCCCAGATTCAAGCACCTGTCACACAGAGGGCAGGCCTGGAAAGGTCCTCTGGCCTGAGTGAGTCATACCCTGCCTGCTCAGACACCTGCCACTCATCAGAGCCCTGAATTACCCCATGATCACCTGCCAGATTAGGGAGACTGGAGGGCAATAGTGGTCTAGGTCCTGCTGCAGATCAGAGTGCTGGATTAGCCAGAGGAATGGTTCTGCTGAGAGCTTAAGCCTCAGAGCAAAGCAGTGCTCCCTGGTGTGAGGCTATACCTATACCTATACCTAGGTGGAGCCTGCACCCACAAGTCCTGTGAGCAAGCAGGGTGTCTTACCCAAGGGCCCAACTTTCAGCAGTGCTGAACACTCATTGTTCCCCAGAAAACCAGGGGCAGCTGCAGGCACTGAGTGTTTATGATAAGTCCATGAGGAGTGATGCAGGGTGGTTCCTTGTACCATGTCAGGCATCCATAAGGATGACCCTAGTGGCACCTTGTGGCTTTGCAAATCACAGCCTGGCAATATACTGTGGGTAGGGCTGTGCTGCTGTTGGGAGCGTATTGCAGCATGCTAATTAAACCAGCTAGTGTGGGCTTGCTGCTTGCGTGCAAGTTGGCTTTGTAGCCTACGCTAAGCTACGTGTTGCTCTAGTTGCATTGTTAGCAGTAACAAAGGCAGATAGTGTGAGCTGGCTTGGGTATGCCTACTTGAGCTGCAGTCACACTTCTTTCTACCTGTGATGTACAAGCAGCCTGCATTGCCCAGAGTATTTACCCTCCCACATCCCAGGGTAACGCCACTGTGCAACTGGGGAACTAAGGGACAGAGAGGATAACAACCCCATTTTCAAAGGTGCATAGCTGCCTAGCAACCATGGGTTCAAGTGAAGATTTGGGCCTAAGAGATTTGTCCAAGGTTACACATGGAGCTGGTGGCATGGCACAAAAATTGAACCCAGGACTTCCCATTCCTAGACTGGTGCTCTAGTTCAGTGTTTCCCAACCTTTTCCAGCCCAAGGCACACTTACATGAATAACAATTTTCTGCGGCACACCTGTTAAGCCATTCCCCATCGTCATACCTATTGTAGCTCATGGTAGCTCACTGCCATGGCAAAATTCTCTGGCATATCTGTTCATTTCTGATGGCACACCTGTGCTGCAGCACACTGGGTAGGAAACTGCTCTAGTTCCTTCAGAGGCAGACAAGGTTCTTTGGGTAAATCCAATATCTTTTATTAGACCAACTGAAATAGTTGGAAAAATTCTTCTTTGCATGCTTTTGGGTACAAATACCCTTCATCAGGCAGAGGAAGCATCTGCAATTGGTCTAACAAAATATCCCTAAGAACCTTTTCTGCCTATGTCCTTAGACTAACATAGCTACAACTTACACCCCTATTCCCTTCGTTACACTTCACAGTCTTCTCCCTTTAGTTTCCTAATCTATCTACCATTCAAACAGTTTGATGGAAAAAAGAGGTTAAATACTATATATGCTTTATATGCTTTTATTTAAAAATAAATCTGAGGTCCTTAATTGAAACATGCCATTTGGTTCATGGAAACAAAAATGTTTCAAAGGTAACAAGCAAAAGTTTAAATGTTTAAGACTTTTTCTGTGGTGAGAAAAATTTCCCAAGTAGCAGGTTTTAGTCAGCAGATAGTTTTGAGCTCTCTGCTAGATATTTGAGACCATATTGATGTTTTCTTCTGCTCTGTGGTTATAACAAGTCT